TTTTATTTCCACATTTGCGCTCCAAAAATGATGATTTATTCAGCAACAGTATTTGGACTATTTTGTCTGCTCATTCATACTTCTGGTTCAGGTAATGTTATCTTATTAATATTTATTTTCACTTCTATTCCGTTCAGATATTTTTTGTCTCAGTTGTTTTTATTTGGCCACTATTTTACCTGTGCATTACTGCTTAGCTGAGAACGCTTTTGCCTGTAAAGAAAATTTTAGATAAGCTTTTTTTTTTCGAGCATGCAAAAATGTTTTATTATTTAAATAATATTGAAAGAACTTTCTACCGTCAAATATGCTTTTTTTTTTGAATTTTTAGCAGATGACCAGAAGAAGTACGTAACAATTTTTGCTACGCATTTGATAGTTTTATAATTAATGGAAATAGTGAAAAGTCTGAAAATTAATTTTTACAATAAAATTTAAGTTGAATGTTCTAGTCTTATATTAGTTGTTTTTTTATTGTTGGATTTCTTTTTTTCCTCGTAGTTTAATAGAGCCGTTTTCAAACCTCAGTTTATACAAACTTGTCTATATTTAACCGACCAAAATTGTGTCAACAAGAGTCTGTTTTTTGATTTTGTAAATTAATGGTTTTTAAACCGAAGTTTGAAACGTATTTGAAAACAAAAAAAAAACTTAACAAGGATAAGGAACAAAAGTCTAGCTTGAATTTACTTTTGCTAATTGCTTTTAAAAGTTTTTCGATAATTAATGATGAAGAAACGATTCTGTAGAGCCAAGTGATGTGGATCAGCAGCAGCATTATTTTTCGCATTGGGAGCAATCCTGTGATCGGGCACTTCAGCAGTGTATAAGCCACGGATCCTGTGTACGCTCCTGGGAACTGTTTATTAACACGTGTACCGTTGATACACTGCATCACCGTTGTAATGCCAGCAATAGGTGAGCACATTGTTCTTTAGTTTAAACAGCTCAACAGTTATTTATTCATTTGTTTTTTTTTTTTCATTTTTGTTTTTGTTTTCTTTTTCCTGCCTCATATTTTTCTAATAGCAACACCTGTAAGCTTTTGGAAACAGCAGGAAGAAGACACTTTTATTTCTTACCAAAACGTTAGAAAATTGGCGATGAACCTTCTTTGGTTATAAGTTATCAAAAAAAAAAACTTTCTAAATTTTTTGGGCATTAGAATTTAAAAATATTATAATTTTTGAAACATTTGCTGACGGCTCAGTACGAAAATCGGGCTGAGCTTTATTGAAAAAATTAGCTAGCAGTAAAATTTCAATTAAACAAAATTTTTCTTTTTGTTTTCATCCTTCAACATCCGGTGTTATATTCGCTTTTAGGACTGCTTGTATTTATGCGTTTCAAGGTCTCTCCTGGACACCGGTCTTTAACTGCACCTGTAAAAATACCTATGATAATGGCAAATGTATTAGCGCACAAAGTTACCTAAAAAATAACCTTTGTGTTTGTATGTTTTGAACTTTTTAACCTCTATTTATTGCAGTCATTTCTTCTTTTTCTCGTTCTTAATTAGTGGCTCCAATAGCTTCCAAATTCTCACAGTTTCTTTGTTGCAACTTACATACAGATGATCATCGTTGAAACAAACATTGGAACAGTTATAGCAAACAAGCATTTCTCCTTCTTTAACGATAAACATATCTGAATTAATTAAGTGATCGAAAAATAAGGAAAAAAATTGAATAATAGTTGAAACAATAAATAGTACAGTCTTTTTTTTCCTTCCCTAACACTAAAATTGTTTAAGCTGATTACAGCAATTGATCAATACTGCAGCACTTTCTTGGACTAAAATTGTGAATCTCTGCGTTAAAATTCATTCTTTTTCTTCTCAAAATTTTTTTTAAGATACTAAAAAAAATATGCTAATTTTTTTTTGACTATTTTAAGTACAAAATAATATATCCTTTATATTTACCAACA